AACTGGACGCGGTCTTCCAGGCAGGATCTAACAAGCGCTCGCGGCCCACCGGGCCCCGGGGCCTTTCGGCAGAGCTGCTCCCCAGGCAGGCGGGCAGGCAGGCCGGCCCCAGCCCGTGTGGCCGCCGGGGCTCGTCCTCCCCGGGGCAGGGCTCTGCCTTCGGCCCTGCTCAGCGTCACTGGGCTCCTGTGGACCCATTTCCTCGGCCAGTTTGTGTCCCTCTGATCTGCCTAATTTAGTGGCATTTGCAAACTTTATGAGCAAGCAGTCCATCGCCCCTTCCAGGTCACTGAAAAAAAATGTTAAACAGGATGGGTCCCAAGCTAGACCCCTTCATTACTGCACTTGGTACCAGCCTCAGAGTATTATCAACTGTGTTATCTGCTGGTTTTAAACATCCTACTTGCCATTTTCTGGGTCTACCCAAGGTTACTGAATGTCTGTCTTTCTGCATGACTTCTGAAGTTGTTGCATCAAAATTCCATCTGCAGGGAGCAGAAAACCCATGTGGTAGATGTCTGCATCCCCACAGTTAAACCAAAGGAGTATGCTACTAGCTTACACTACAAAACAGATGCTCATTGATGTGCTTTGCTATTTTTTTTGTGAAGTGGCATCTGATGCTTTTCTGAAAAGTAACAAAACATGAAGCACCTGGTCCATTATACTCTAGCATCCTTAGGAGCAGAGAAGGAGAGGCAGCCTCCTTTCAGCCCCTGCAGTCAGTGTGGTGAACCCTAATACCCAAAAATGACTCTGCAAACAGTCCCAGTGGAATGACAAGCTTGTAAAATTCCTTACCCACCTTCTTTACACAACCCTCTGATGGCAAATGTATCAGTGTATTAGACTAGTGACCCTCTGACTAGTTCATGCAAATCAGTGTCTTTTATCTGTGTTACATGTACGTGTTTTTTATTCCAAGTAAACACTTTGTTCTTCTACTAAGGAACAGTGATAAGAAGGAAGACAGACAGAATGAATTAAAGGCTTTTACAAAAATGTATTTATTTAAAAAAAAAATCACATGGGAAAGCATTATATGCCATGATTTGAGAAGAGTTTGGCTTGTCATTGATAAATAAATAGATGCTCTCTAATGGCAGCATCAGAAATTTACTCCTTAAATAATGACATTAGGTAGCAAGCACAGAAATAGGGAAAAAGGACTCAAATAATATATTTTTAAGTAAAATATATTTTACCACTAGGTGTCCCTGTTAGAAAACTGTAATCCTACAGAATGCTCTGTGAGATACAGGGCAAATAATCTGAATTACTGTTAAAGTTGCTGGCACAAACCTTCAAAAGCCAAAGTACCTAAGTCACAGAAGCAGTGTGTACTGTTAGCGACCATGAAAGATAAAGGCAAGGGTTTAACGTCCTTTTTGAGTACTGCTACCAGCTAAGATGCAGCAACTGACTTAAATATGACACTTAAAGTATTTCAGATGTGTATTTAGTGGGAAAAAATGGCAGGGAGATTCAGTTCTCCCTTTAAAGCAGCCAGCGTAAGGCAGCTGTTAGAAACAGCCACAGCAGGTATGCTGCTGTTTAACAGAAATACAGTCATGGCCACACCATTCCCCTACTATGCCTGCCCTCCACAGTTAATCCAGCTCATTTTGACCGCAACTGATTTAAACAAAGGTCACTGAAAAAGGATGGCAACAAGTACCTGCAGATAAGCTGAGGGCAGTGGCCCTTCCAGGTAAATCAGCTGCAGCTGGAAGAGGCCACATGGTGCAATCCTGAAGACATCCATCCCTCTGTGCTTTCCATCAATAATTTTGAGCATTAGTTGACTCTGCCCCTCCAGCAGGGGAGGGCTACTTATGGGAGGAAAAAGAGTCATAGAAAATATTTGGAACATACTCGAAGATTGTTTCAGTGGGTGCAAAAAAACAATGATTATGTTGTGCTCGTCAGCTGCACGTTGAATAATTTTCCCTTGACTATGGCTGTGCAGCAAGATCCAGCCAAATGTTAGTGAGGTTGCCTGTCTCTTCCAATTATTTGCCACTCAGCAGCATGGCCTTCCTTACACGTAAGCCTGTCTGTCAGACGACAACTGATAGGAACTGAACTGACTTCACATTCAAAGGTTCTGGACTCCCCACACATACTGACAATTAATTGTAGGATTAAATTGACAGTAAGAAAAAACACACACCTCATTTAAAGTAACTAGAGTGCATTTGCAAACTTCCATGCTAGCTTTATTTCTAACAGCCACTCTAGTTTTGCCACTATATTATTAACATGTTTGTTTCAGCAAAAAGATGCTATTCAGATGGCTACAGTTGAAACTCACCTGTCCCTGTGAGCAGCCCACAGATAAGCACATCAGAGAGCAAGCCGAGTGCCCAATTTTAGGAGTTACATGTCAGTCATTTCAGAGAATGAGTCAACTTTCAGTTGCCCACAGGCTAATCATTTAAACTGCACATTAGCTCCGTAAAAATGCCCATACTTGTGCTAGAGACAGGAGCATGGCCTCCTGAACTCTGCTCATGCTAACTTTGAGATCAACCTGTTCCACACCAGCTGTCCTTTGCTTCCCATCTTCCATGACACCACCCCTGTATTTCCTCCACTTAATTGTCCATCTACGCCTATTGACCTAATTATCACACCTTAGAGGCAGACTGTAGGAAGGGTAATCACCTGAATTCATTCTGCCACTGCAGTTGGGGTCCGCTGGGTGAAGAAGTCAGAAAGCTGTAGCCGTTTCTCCATCCCCACCCACAGCAATCAGCAGAAGAGGAGCTCCGGCGGGGAAGTGACAGAGAAACCCTTTCTTGGCTGCTCTCTGCCTTACCTGAGGCACAGCCACCTTTGAGGCCTGGAGACCACCTTCAAACACCTGGAAAATCCTTATCAGTCTTCAGAGAGCAAGCAACGAGGAGAACGATAAGGCGAGGTAAAGTCCTGAGTTTACAAATCAGAATCCAACTAGTAAAAAATGGTTTGAACCTCTTGGGGAGAAAGGAGTGGGGAGATTTACTCTGTGAGAACCAGAACGGTGCAGAAGAGGGGACCGGGCCCCGCTCTGTGACAGGACTGGGGCTGCCGAGTCCTGCCCGGCCTGTGCGCTGTCGCCCCGCTCGGGCCCTCTCAGGCCGAGGCCACGCACGATGGGCAAACCCCGACTTGTGTTTAACCCGAGCACCAAAGGGAAAATAAGCCTCCCGCAGGCCTCCCGGCTGAAGACAGCCCGAACAGTATGTCAGGAGCGTATGCTAAAGGATCTAAAGGAATCGTGAAGCTATTCCGGCTTTTCAGCAAAACACGGTTTTGCAGCGGCCTGGCGCGTACGCACCGCGGCGGCTCAGCCGGG